GGAAGAGAAGAGAGAGAGAAGACGGAGAGCGTGGAAAGACGAGAGGCGGAGAAGGATGAGAGGAGAGAGAGAGAGACGAGAGGAGAGATGGGAGGAGAGGAGAAGGAGATTCTGGAGAGCGAGGAGATGAGAGAGAGAAGAGAGAGAGCGAGCGAGGGACAACAGGAGTGATAGAGAAACACAGAGAGAGAAACACAGAGAGAGAAGAAACACAGCGTAGAGGACGAGAGAGCGAGAGGGGAAGAGAGAGAGGCGAGGAGTCGATGGTCTCAGTCGGATAGGTTAGGGAGATGCCGAGAGAGAGAGAGAGGAGAGAGGCGGTGGAAGGAGAGAGGAGACGAGGAAGGAAGAGGAGAGGAGGATGAGGGAGGGGGGTGAGAGGGAGAAGAGAGACCTTGAGAGAGGTATGAAGGTGAGAGAGAGAGTAGAGAGAAGAAAAGGAAAGAGAGGGGAGAGAGAGAATTGGGAGAGGAGCGAGAGAGAGAAGGGGGGCAGACAGAGAGAAATAGAGGAGAGAGAGAAACAGTGAAAGAAGGGAAAACAAACGAGGGAGAGAAAATGAGCGAGAGATAAATAAAGAGGGGGAATAAAGAAGAGAGAGGAAACAGGATGAGAGAGAGAGAGAGAGAGAGGAGAGAGAGAGAGAGAGAGAGAGAGAGAGAGAGAGAGACAGACAGACAGCGACAGACAGAGAGAAGAGAAGAGAGAGCGAGTGAAGAGAGAGAGAGAGAGAGAGATAGAGAGAGAGAGAGAGAGGAAAACAGAGAAAGATGAAAAACGGAAGAGAGAAGAAAACAGAGGAGAGAAATTGAGAGAGAGATAAAATAGAGAGGGGAAAACAAGAGAGAGTGAAACAGAGAGAGAGAGAAACAGGGAGATGAGAGAAATAGAGAAGTAGGAGAGAGAGAGAGAGAGAGAGGAGTCGAGAGAGAGAGGAGATGAGAGAGAATGAGAGATAGAAGAGAGGAGGGAGAGGAGAGAGAGAGAGAGAGAGAGAGAGAGAGAGAGAGAGCGAGAGAGAGAGCGAGAGGGAAACAGAGTGATAGAGAAACACAGAGAGAGAAACACAGAGAGAGAAACACAGGTGACGAGAAGAGAGAAGAAGAGAGAGAGAACGTGAGAGAGAGGGAGAGAGAGTGAGAGAGAGAGTGAGAAGAGCAGAGAGAGAGAGT